GTTTACAACAGTTTCAATATGAAACAAATTTCTAGCCTCCAACTAAAAACTAAACTTTCTAAGTATATCAATGAGGATTTCTGTTCTAGAAAGTTTAGTGAAGCATGAATCTAAGCAGAGAGCAGAATTTAATGAACACTTTCTCTTTTGCTGGATATCTTCTTTGTGTAGTATGATTTCTCTGCTTAGTGAACTCAGGAGCTTGTTTTTCTTCTCATGCGTATGCCCGAATTTATAGGCATCTCTGGTTGATTAATCTCCTCCGTTTGTTGAGAGAATTTAATCTATGTCGTTGAGGCTTCTTGTACTTTCGTCTTCTTGTGTTGGAGCAGCTTATCTTCAGACGCAATTGGATCAACTTGCTTCGCAAGAAATGTAAACCCATTCCTTAGGCCTTTTACGCACTATTCACCATCTAGTGGGGTTTTGTCTTCACAGGCAACTCTGCGTGTTGTAGTGTCCCATGCTTTTGTAGATGCTCTGGCCTTAGGGAAAAAAATTGTGACATTGGTCTTTCTTTAACACATAAATTTAACTGGTAGGAAGAAAAATCCTTTTTAAGGTAATTAAAAATTACCTTATTGCATTTTATATTTCCAGTCAAGTTTATGTGTTTCCGAAAGTGTACAGGTAAGATTGGTCACAATTGTACTAGTGACAAGAATAATTTTATAACAAATAAAAACATACTGGATGGATTTGAATATCCTTGCAAGGTAGAATTTTACCTTATTGCATTTTAACATTTCCAGTATATTTATTTGTCATAAAATTTATACAATGTTAATATTTGGTCACTTTTACAAAGTATTCTTATCTAAGCAATTTGAGAACATACTACTGTTTGCAAAACCAGTATACAATTTTCACAATAGAATCTAAACACAAGAGAAGGATGACATCATCAAAACTATCTCTTATAATAGTAGGTTACATCAAAGTCTGAGGGACCTAACACACTTCCTACTGAAACGAAAAAAACATTGTTTGCCAAAACACAATGAATTTTTTGGCGAGTAGTAACGCACGCTTTTTGCTTGTCGGAGAGCGTGCTTACCGTGGACTGCTCCCACGGTATAGCAACGGGAGGAAACTAAAATGTGTGTTCAATTGTAGTAATAAATTGAGTTTCTTTAAGACAAACAACAATAACATAAGCTTTAGGGTCATTTAAAATTTTATTAGATAGTGTTATTTATAAAATTAGGCTAATATATATAACTATTACAACATTTGCGGAGTATAATTTAAGGATCGAGATGTAGCTATCGTTACTATTTATATATGTCAATCGTAGTTTTATTATAGTTAATCATAGGAGTGACTTAGGCATGGACACATTTCTCGTCCACGCCAATTCCGATCGCGAACCGGCCGGTCTTCGAAAAACATATAGAGAATTGGGACCTCTATTTTCGATTTCTAGCCGTTCCCGATCCATAACTGATCCCGTGATCGTTATCTAGTCCAGTCCCGATCCCGGGTTATTTTCTTTTTTAAACTTTTAAACCCTCTCCATCCACAACTACACCTCTTTTATGTTTTAAATGGGTCCTCAACCCGTATGGAATGTTTTCCAATAGTGTAATACTAGTAGCAAAAATACTATTAAAAAAAGGAGAAAACTGTCAAATAGGCCCCGTACTATATCGAAAAAGTCAATTAAGTCCTCGTACTTTGGAAACACCCAATTAAACCCTTGAACTTTTTAAAAACACTCAATTAGGCCAATTAGTGGGTAACCAACCGGTTTCCCGGTCACTTGCACGTGTGGCAGTCCATGTGGCGGTCTACATGGCAAATATTAAAATTTCTTTTTTCTTTTCTCAGTTTCCTTCTTTCCCAGATAGCTGCAACGCCAGTACTACCCATCTCCTTTAACCAAACCTTCTGCCCCACCAGACTTCTTCATTCCTCTATTTACGACGGCCAACCTTATTAAAAAAGGCAGTTAAACTCGTTCTACACCCAAACAAATCCGTCGCGTGCACTTAACATTGAATTCCTCTGGTTGTTCGTGGGAACGACTTCTAGGGTTTCGAATTGTACTGTTTTGCAGATTTTGATCCTGTTAGCTTTGTTGAATCTGGGTATTAAGGTTTAATGTCTTGCGAATTTCGATTGACCGTAGAGGCTTTAGTTACCTATGTTCTTGTCCATCCGTATTGTCCCTGAATATTATCGAGTGAACTCCAAGCCTCCATTAATGGAGGATGAACACTGAAATAATGTTTTTTAACCAACTATAAACTTCCACTCCTCTGCCAAACAAAATTGGAATGTACCTGAGGTTCCAACGCAATTCTAGTTGTTCACCTGTGGCAGATTCACATAATCGAGCTTCTGAAATCGTCATCAATGGCTTATAGACATAGAAATTGAGCTTCAGCAAATCAATGAAAACTTTAGCAAATCAATGAAAACTTTATGTGAAGCAAATCTAACGTAATCTATCCTAACCAAAAGGAGGTTCCAGGCATGTCCCTGAAAGTTGAAATCGGGACCTTCAAAACTTGTTTGGAATGTGAGTAGAGCTCCCAAGCATCCATTAATGGCAGAAGCTCCAAATATTAATCCAGCGAGGGGTATTTAGGTTCTTGAAGAAAAAGCATCCATTAATTGCCTGGGTTTCTCGAGGCTAGCGACGACGAGCCAGATCGGAACCACCGAACTGTGAAAGAGAAAATTGACCATCCATGACCATATCTACTCACTGGAGTTCAGGGAAAGAGGAAGGAAAGGAAAAGAAAAAGCGTTTAAAAAAAGAAAAATTAAATAATTCCTACATGGGCTGCCACGTGGCTAAACACACTGATAGCTAACCAGGAATTCTGGAAACCTGTTGGTGACTTGCAAAATAGCTCAATTGGACGTTTTTTAAGAGTTTGAGGGTTTAATTGGGCGTTTCCAAAGTACGAGGGTTTAATTGACTTTTTCGATATAGTACGAGGACCTATTTGACAGTTTTCTCTAAAAAAAATGTCTGGTCCCGATCTTAAAAAATGGAGGCTTAGGGACCTCTTTCCCACCGGTTCAGGTTCCGGACTGCAACCTTCTCTTTCAATCCCGATTCAAATTGGGTAGCTCCCATGCGAACCCGATTTTGGGACCAAGTTCATGCCTAGCAGTGAGCATGGGATAAATACAACTATACAAGATAGTTATGTCATGTCAAGATCTTTGTATGATATGTCAAAAGTATACACATTTTATATACACCTCACATTTTCTTACAATTTACAAATTTATTATAGAGTTAAAAGTTTATCCACAAGCTATTTTCACGTACATTGAAATTTTTGAATATTTTCATTGAAATCAGTTTTTCCATCATTTGAAGATTTATAGGCTTATAGCTACATATTTTCACCTAACATATTTTTCTGAGAATAATTCTTAGATGTTGTTATCAAAGATTTTTAGATATTTTCACTTAAATTAAAATTTTCCGAACTGATAAGTTATTATGTAGTATATTTTAATATTTTCTAAACTTAATTAATTAAGCCTTATATGTAGGGGTGGACTCGGGCCGGCCAGCCTGCCCCGGAACCGGCCCAACCCGGTCACTGTTTGAACCGGCCCGAACCGCCGGCCCGGTCAGGGACCGGTCCGGGTAGGCCCAACCTGCTGGGGTTTTCGGGCCGGGCTCGGGCTCTTGAAAAGGTGAACTGGCCCGGCCGGTTCGGGCCCGGTCCGGCTGGTTCGGGCCCGATCCGGGCCAATTTATTTATTTTTCCTTTTTTCTTCTTTTTTTTTTTTTAAGTTTTTGGGTTGGGCTGGGTATTTTGGGCCATTTGAGGTGGTTTGGGGTGGGTTGGGGGTGAGGGGGGAGGGTTGGGGGTTAATTAGGAAAAGCCAAAAAAAATTAAGTTGAACTGAGGCCCGGCCCGACCCAACCGGACCCGAGCGTTACCCAGGCCGGTTCTGGGCCTCCCCTTTCATGAACCGAGGCCCGGCCGGGCCCAGGCCCGAACCGGGCCCAGGCCCGAACCGGGCCCGAACCGGCCTGAGTCCACCCTTATATGATCCATTTAAGTCTTGTCAAACTGAATCTAAACCTGATTCAAGTGAAAACATTAATAGGAAGTGCAATAGGTGTTTGACACTGAGATCTACTATTATAGGGGGACTCCAAAAATTTAGAATGCAGTATTAGTTATAAGTTGATTTTTCAAGACGTTATATATTATTCAAAATTCCAAAAGATATATAACCTTTAGATTTTCTAATTTGTGTACTTTAAACATGTTCAAACTCATATTTCATTGAACTGACAAGTCTACTTTTTATTTCATTGTTCAAATTTGTACGTTGTATTTTTTTGTTGTTTGAGGGGAGCCTCCATTTGTCATTTGGAATGAGACCTTCAAATTCATTAGTTGACCCTAAATGGCTAAATCCAAAACTCCTGTCATAGCTCCTAAATGGCTAAATCCAAAACTCCTGTCATAGCTAAGTTACATAGGAATGTCTGTCTAATTTTGGTTGTAGGTAGACCCGTATTCCTCCCCCACAAAGGGTATGTTTGGCAGATGGATGTTAGTTGTTGTTAGCTCGTTGTGTCAGCTGTTTTCTAACAGCTGGTTGTGTTAGTTGTTTTGACCGGCTGGTTATGTTAGCTGATTATAGATAACTGTTTAGTAAAATTGGTTGTTTCAAAATGGCTGATAGAGTGTAAATTGAACCAGCCGAACGAATAAGCTGCCCCCCTTAGCTTCTTCAACAATTCATTTTTTCAGCTTTTCAAACTCAAAAAGCTAATTTTGAAAGTCATTTACCAAACATCATTATTAGCTTCTTTGACCAATCAAACAGCTAAAATGGATCAAACAAGCTAAAAGCCGGTTGATAAGCCATTTGCCAAACATACCCAAAATAATCAAGGTTATGATGGAATGTGGGGCTTAAACTAATACTCATGCAGTCCCATGGTCCACAGTTATACTCCGTAGTTTATTATTAACTTTATTTAATCTATTACTCCGTATTACTAACTGAAATTAACATACTTGAAAATCACTCTTAAAGTAATCTAAACTTCCTTTTTAAGTTATCTTAAACTGCAAAACATGTAATATAATTAAGGGGTGTTTGAAACTAATTCTGATTCTGCTTCCTTTTTTAAGCAGAAGCAGAATCAATTTCAAAAAGTTGTTCTCCCCCAACTTCTAAAGAAAACTGATTCTAGGAACAAATTAGAGCTCCAGAATCACTTCTGCTCTCACCCAAACACTCAAACTTCTTATTCTGCTCCCCGAGGAGCAGAAGCAGTTTTAAGAATCAGATCCAAACACCACCTAAATTTGATATACAAAATTGCAGCATAAACGATGGGTCGGATTAGTTCTCAAAAAAATGTTTGGATTAAACACATTTAAAAGCCCACAGGAATGTGGGGGTGTGGGGGGGGACAAAACTTCTTATCCATTTGCGCAAAACAGTGCATAAACTTTGAAAAAAAATGCAATAAAAAATTCCCAAAGGTAGTAAATTCAACTGGTTTCAGATTTCTTGGACTTCTTAATCTCTCTCCGCCTTTCCTCCAAGCGAGCGACTTTATCCTTCTTACGTTTTATTCCAATCTGAAAAAGAGAAAAGAGGTCATGAGTACCGCGCAAATACTGCATGTTTGACGATTTTATTATAGGGCTTATAACAAAAGCAAATTGAGAATTTGAGATAGGTCTAGTAAACCTATCAAGTGCCTATACAAATGATGTGTAGTTCATGAACCTCTTAAGACTTGGGTGCCTCATCAAACAATTCTTTTACCACACAAATAACGTTGGTTTCACACGACAAATTGTATAATAATAATAATAAAAATAAGTCAAAGTTATTGTAAATGATCACTTTAACTATTTTCATACTCCTCCGTCCCTCAAAACTTTGTCAAACTTTCCATTTTAGGTTATCTCATTAACTTTGTCACTTTCCTTTTTATATAAGGAATTTGTGATTCTAGTTAATTCTTTCCTCTGCACAAATCTCAACCACGCAGTTTTTATATTATTAATCTCTTTGTCAGACAAACTTGACAAAGTTTTAAGGGACGGAGGAAGTATAATTCATCATATTCAGCCGCTTCCGCCAGAACTAAATCAATTTCAGTACAATTAGCCAATAATCACCCAAACCGGCTTTATATTGCCAAACATTGACCTTGGATCTTTTAGTTGTCTTTTTTAATCTAAAGAACTTCTCAGCAAATTCTTTTGACTAAATAACACCCTATCTAGTCCAAAACCTTTGATTAGTTGTTAGGAAATAGGAAACTTAAACCTAAGATAGAAATTGAAGAAATTCTTATCCACCTATTTGGTGGAGAAAAATGGGGGAGAAAAATGAAAATGGCACGTCCCACCAATTTTTTTGTTTGTTCTCTATATTGGAGAGGAAAAGAGGGATTTTTTTTATTGATTTCTTCTCCAACTCTTTTCCAACCGGACAACACGCAAATGCCCGATATTTCTGTATTCTCCATCTCTGCTCACCCCACACAAAGGGTACATGAGATAGCACAAGAAGATCAGTAATGTTACCTCCATTGCCTCTTTGATTTTCCTCATTTTGCGGGACATGCCAATTTTAGACATTGTCTCGTCATCATTGACAATTTGTTGTGTATCAGAAACCAATTCAGGACTAGCATTGTTGTCCACTGAAAGATCATTCTCATTCTCTTTGGAAATTGCTGAGTATTGAACACCTTGAAGCTCCTTCTTTAATTCTTCATGATACTGCTTCTCTAGAGCAGACATCTGCATTTGACACCATGGTACATAAGTGATGGGCAAATAAAATATCATTGTTGGGCTTCTTTACAAAAGATTAAAATGCACTGCATAAAAATGACAACAGAGAATGCAGCTTGTAAAACTGTCAAAGGACAGTGAACTTGTAATCAACTGTATTTTATAGACATGAAAATGCAACACCAGTTCCATGCATATCACTATCAAGAAGACCAAGATATGACACACTTCTGTAAAATTTTACCATTTGAACTGGCAAGTTCTCAAATCTGAAAACTGTTAAAATAAAACAAAATCACTCACCATAGAACTAATTGTACTGACCTTGTTATATTTAACTTTACACTGCATTGACTGTGACACTACACTATCAATAACTAGTCACATTTTTGTCCATGAGTTCTGTTTTAGTGATCATTAAAAGAAATCCCTTTTCTATTTATATTCTCTTTGGTTTATTTTGAACATTGAATAAATCTTTGCTGAATATATCGTTTATTTACATGTTATCCTATACGGCTATACAGAGTATTCAGGGTTCAATTACTGTTTACTGAAGGATTGGAATGTGTTTTATAAGATAAACAAGTTTGGATGCTCAATTGTTAAATTGTGAAAAGTTAGAGAGCATATTTGACCATTTTCTCTTATTTAATTACTATTTACTTAGCTTCTTATTAGAATTAGACAGAGTTCTTATTCTTAAATATATAATTACTAAATTTGATTTTTGTATTTACAGAGTATTTAATATTTCTCCAGACCCTTTTTACAAAAATAAACGCAAGTAACTTACCATTTGTTTTTTCTGAGCAGCTTCAATAGCTTTTGCACGATCACTAATACCCTCCATCAGTCTATTCTGAGGATCATCCAAATCTTCTGCACCAAGACCAGGCATTGGGAGGACTTCTTTTGTTGCAGCAGTGCATATTCGCTTGATGGTCTCAGCATATTCAGGCATATAACCTTCTGTTTCATTGTCAACAAAAGGAGACAAGTGTGGAGGGGGAACCCTGTATGGCATATTTTGCAGTTAGTTATAATAATACTCATGTCTCTAAATGATCTTCAACTTACCTTTATCCGTCCAAACTACCACTAATTTCATTTCTAAGGAAAGTTGTACGTGGTTCAAATTATTTCTATCTTCTAACTAATATCAACCACAGAGTTCTGATTTTTTGGAGCATCGTGCTAAGTCAAAGTGGATGCTAATTTAGAGAGTTTCAAGAGCAAAATTGGTAAAAATGAAAACTTCTCATATACCTCCCAACAAAGTAAGGCGCAGTAGGCAATTTGATGCGATTGTTTATGCAATCATAAACCCACTGTGGTTGAACATATTCCCGAGAAAGAAATTTGTGACCCTGTGTTGGCCTATCAACGATCTGGACCAACACACAAACGAACAATTCAAGCTACTAATAATGTAGGCTTCAGAGATGATATCCAGGATTTAAACAACAGAGGAAATAATATTAGGAGGTATTTTGAATTATAAGTTGAACAGGGTAGGCAAGCAAGCACTGAATAGCTTGCGGATTGCAAACCTGATGAGTAATACTCTGATCAGATTCATTAAATGGGGCTCCTTCTCCTTCCCACGAGACAATACCACCAAAAGCAGGGATAACAAAAAGAAGAGACTCCCTGGGAACCTAAACATCAAATCAAATTAAACGATATTCTTATTTGAATTAGTGTGAAGACTCAGTTTAACAGATAAGCTAAAAATGTTGAACCGAACAAACAGTAAATTTAGCACTATAGAATGCACATAATACAAAATTTATGAAGTATAGACAGGACGCACATAATATATATTATGACGAATGTTTTAGGAAGCACAAGATACAAATAAGAGAAATTGCCCTAAATAGGAGTAAACAACTTTGGGAATTCCAAAATAGGACTACATTGTTTTTCTTCCCGAAATAGGCGTAGTTACTGTCATGATTGAAAAATAAGGCCATTAATTATAATAAATAATGTCATGTTGAATGCATAGTACTGCAACTATTTGGCAGTCATGACTAAAAGATGGCAGTAAATATTGTCATCTTAGTCCTATTTCGGAAAAAAAACATAACAGTCCTATTTTGGAATTCCAAACTTTATTTAATCCTATTTTGGGAAAGCTCCCTACAAATATTGTAATAAATTGTAGCATGAAAATTATTGGAGCTTCACCAGCAAAAATTGGCACAACCAATACATGATTGCCTTGCTTAGTGGCTGCCTGGCAGAATCATTTGGATTTATAGCCATTAGCCAACTATGCCAAAAAAATGGTTGTAACTATTTTGTATTCTTTTTCAGATTAAGTAATCATAATAATAGCAAGATACTTTTAAATTGTGGGAGACATAAAAACTACTGTTATGGACATTATAAAATTAAAAAGTAGTCACAACAATGCATGATTGCCTTGCTTAGTGGCAGCCTGGCAGACCTATAAGGATTTATTTCAAACCATGTCATACACAATCTGTCGGTCTGTTTTATTTTTTCTATATTCATTTTCAGTTGGAATTCGGAGACATAAAAATGCTTGGAATTAAATGGTTGAAATTCAGAGACATAAAAATGCTGTCAGTAACATGTTAAAATAACAAAAAAAATGCAGAACATGAAAAATGATAATTAAGTTTCCTTAAGGTTACAAGCAATAATCAATTTTCTGAAGGAAGAAAATGTATCTACCTCACGACTTAGGAAGAATGTCAATCCTTCCAAGAGGGACTTGCATTCCTTTGTATCAGCATCATCATCATCCTCACCAGCTTCCTCGTTAAGTAGGTGCATCAAAGCACCTGGCTCATTTGAAGGAAGTTGGTGTTGAAGCTGTGCAAGTCTCAGATCCGACTCCTCAAGCTCTCTCTGCACCTCCTGGTCATCAGTCTTCACAGACTCAGATAGATCAATGGCTTCAGACTCCACACCAGAAGCTCTGTTTCTTGCATCAAATAGCCTCGACAGTGCATAAAGATCTGTAATGTTCCATAACTATCAAATAGTATTCATATTTTAATTTTAAAACCCCTGATAAGCTGAATGTTATCAAATAAGAAACAGTACCATCTGCTAACTCTTCGAGGCGAGAGTCAAGGATAGGTGGATATTTAACATTTAATGAATGATAAAGCTTGAAGTTGACAAAAGCAAGGAGCGTCTGTGCACAATAATAAAGCCATTGTCAGCAATAATACATCTTAAACAAGAATGAGGAAAAAAGCCTACCATACATTAGCTTTCCATAATACTGCACTATTTTTTCATGAAAGTTGGAGAAAGGCTCTTAGCTCTTAAACATAAAAAGTGAACTGATGGGGTAGGACCAAATCTAAGTGGCAGATGTTAAATCTAGTGAATGTTAGCAGGTATTAGAACAACAACCAACAGACAAGCAAACAAACTACACCCAAGCCTTAGTCCTAAAAGAGTTTGGGGTCAGCTAACATGAATCAACATAAGACATCAGAGTAAGCACGTCCTAGAAGTGAGTGTTATTAACCCACTCCTACAAAGAATCAAAATTATAAACCCATTCTTTCTATCAGGGGTTGTATGCAGCCAAGAAGCCTAACACAGACATTTAGTAAACTACATATGATAAACAACAAAACTTAACATTCTAACCTCATAAAATTCCAAAAAAGTCAGCAATATCTTATAATCAACATCATCAGGCAGTACTTGCTGTAGGGCATGGGGAGTTAGCCATGTGATTTTTTGCCCTTCGATCTCAGCCTACAACAAGATGTATTGCACTTGCAAATCATTATAAAAGACTCCAAGGAGATAGATATTAAGAAAAAACTTAACAAATGAAAGGATACTATGATACCTGATAATATATTCCTTTAACAGATATAAATGCTTTTCGTAGTTTATGTGTGCGAGAAACATATGCTTGCCACTCGTGACTCAGCCTGATACACCATGAAAAGAAAGTGTTTAGCAGAACTACGATGCAGGTAAGGGAATAACAAGTAGAGTACATCGAAAGGCAGAAACCAAATAAATGAAAAAGACTAATAATTGACAAGTAGATGACCTTCGACAATTATGGATACGTTTCACTGGAATATTTTCTCTTCGTACTGCAGGCAATGCAGCAAATAGGTGCACCATGCTCAGACAATCATCCAAATCTCTTAATGCATCAATGAATTTTGGATACCTATAAGGATGCAAAGTAGGTAGGGTCAGCCTAGATGCCAATCTATGATGCTAGCAAAAAAAACGTCCAACCATATGAACACGGCCAACCTCTCTCGGATAAGCATATCTAAAGTATAGGTAGGTTTTGAAGCCAACAGGCGGTCAGCAAGATCCTTGTTCTTCTTGGCCACTGCCTTTTTAACTTTCTTCTCATAAGCACGCATCTCTCTGAACTTCTCAAGTAGTGGTTCTCGTTTAAGGAACATAATATCTTTCGTGTGATAATAGGTTTGATGGTTTCCCTTCACTTTCTTCTTTGGTTCTCGTGGAAATATACCTTTGAGGATGCATAGCTTCCTGTAAAGTAGTACATCAATACGTGGTCAATAACTTCAAAGACTCAAAAAAGTTCGAAACTTGACAAATTGCAAGCTTTCTTATATCAGTAACAAGTCTTAGGCAAAAACAGGGGTGGGTGTTTAACTACAGAGAAACATTTTCTGAGGTTTATGTCTGTAAATTATAAGCTATACTGAAAGAAAATTATAAATTATAAATTGGATAAGAAAAACCACAGTAGAAGTTGAGCAAGAGCAATGTGATGGACGCCAACCTGAAGAGTGATATACTGACTTGGAGTTCCTTGACAGATTTTGATCTTGTAATGAATCTGGCTGCATTCCCTTCCTTTTTCTTGCCCTGAAACGCGAAATTATAAGCAACCGTTGGATACCGACAAATCAAAAAGAAAGCAGGAGAAGACTCGTTAGCTCACCGCAGGCCTGTAGTGCTTAGGCATGGCTGCCCCGCCGCTGCAGACTGGAGTAGGAAGAGAGTGGTGGTGGCGGCGGCGATTACTTCAAAGACAGTACTGTGTGTTGTGTGTGTATGTACGATGTAGTTAGGGCATTACTTCACGCACCTCCCTCCGCGCCCACTTTTTTACAAAACTGTACCTACTTTGAGTAGTTTGGCTGTTTTTGGCTCATCAGGGCTTATCAGCCAACTTTTTTATCAAACACGTAAGTTTTACTTTCACGTGTTGAATTGTGTAATAAGCAGAAAAAGTAAAGTTGGAGTTACTTTTCTGGTTGTATTGGCTAAAGTTACTGTAGATGACCATTTTAGTTATTTTTACATCTATTTTTTTCTTTATTTTATCAATAAAATATATTTTAAAAATAATTTTTTCTTAAATCAGCAGAATCAGCCAATGCAGCCGCTTCAGCCAGAACTTCATAAATTTCAGCAGAATCAGTCAAAACAACCGATTTTTGTGCTACCAAACAGACTCTTAGTTTTTTGTTATAATAAAATCGGAGAAAGTGTCGGTTCGGTACATCAAGTTGTAAGCGGGAGACTAAAGAGTACATCATTGTGCAATTAGGATTCAGATGTACATTAAATCGCAAAGCAGTGCTAATTTAGTCCATCGGGTTATTTAGGGCGTTTAAAACGCCTAGGTGACAAGTATTGGCCGTTTGTGTGGTAAACGGTGGCGTCCGAATCAGCATGAGTAGGTGACTATCCTGCACGTAAAAACCAAGCATGACCATGACCTTAACCCGACCCAGTGACCTCTGCCTATCCGCAAAAACATCCTCCATGAAGTGAGCTTCGAAAGGCCTGATTTCTTCAACCCTAAGGATCATCAATGGCGGGGAGAATGAGAACGCGAGCAGATACAATAGCCAGATGCGCTTAGCGAAGACGAAGAATGCCTAGAGAAGCTGTGCTCTGGCCATGTCGTGTTCCAATTTAGAGTGGTAATAACAAAAATGATAGCAAAACTTGCTGAATTCCTCATTGTAATACTTTGTCCCCCTTTTCAACACTTGGTTCTAGACTTCTAGCTAAGGTCTCTTAAGGCCACAAAGAGGAATTTAAGCGATTGGCGTTCTTCAGGGTTCAAGTGCTTTGGTGAGTCGTTCTTCACGCAAGCGCAATTCTCAAAGTCCTGAGAGAGCGTCTGGTTTATGATTGCTTCCAAATGGTACAAAACCACCTTTGAGTACTTCGAATTTAGGGTTCCTCTATACGGTTGAAGGTGAAGGTTCAAGTTATCAAATAAACTAGAACCGTCTGTTTCTTCAATTTGAGAAATTAGGGGTTTGCAGAACTGTTTAACTATCACCAGGTTGGGGTCGGTTTGCCATATCAGTAATCCGTTTGCCACCTGGGCATTTTAAACTCCCTAATAGCCTGATGGACTAAATTAGCACTCCTTTGACGATTTAATGTACCTTTGCATCCCAATTGCACAATGATGTACTCTTTACTCCTCCGCTTACAACTTGATGTACCAAACTGACACTTTCCTCTAATAAAATATATCCGTTTGTTATACTATGTATGGAACTTGCAATAATAATAATATAGATAAAGCTAAACATGAATATGGAATATTTTTTATCTTGTTTTGTACTCCCTCCGCCCCTCAATACTTTGTGTTGTTTGACTGGCACGGGAAATAATAAAGTAAAAATTGTGTGGTTGAGTTTTGTGCAAAGGAGAGAGAAATAATAGGAACCACAAATTCATTGATTAAAATGGAAAGTTGCAAAGTTTTTGGGACAACCCAAAAAGGAAAGATGAAAAAGTTATAAGGGACGGATGGAATACTACTTTGTCCCAAAAAACATTGTCATTTCATGAAATTTAAACAATAATTTTGATTAATATGATATTATGAAACTTATAAATTTTATACTTTTTTGGAAGCACTTTTAACAAAGAACAATTTTATATAATTTTTATATTATAACTAATTTTCGATGAAAATATATAGTTGTTCAAAGTTTTGAAAATGACAAAGTTTTTTTGGGACGGAGGTAGTATTTATTTTTGCCAAGAAGTATTTTATTTATGTACTACATTCGTCCCATATATGTTTGTCATATTGACTTTTTTTGGTATGGCAAACTTTGGACAACTATTTTCATTAATATATTTGTATATAATTTATAAGTTTTATGTTTTTATAAATAAAATTAATGAGGAATATTCAAATATAAGTTTAACATTCAAAATAATTTCGCGTTAAAAAATCATTTGTCAAAGTTGATTATCATTACCCAAAAAAAGTCAATTTTGGCAAACACTTTTGGGACGTAGGGAGTAAGTGTTATGATAAAAGGGCAATTACACACTGAACTAAACAAGATTTATTTTTAGTCCAATGTAATTATAAAAAATAATTACTCTATGGGTGAAATGTTTTGTTTTAAAAAAGGTAATAATATTAACAAGTAGGAAAAATTGAGAACCTCAAAAATGTGTTCACTATCAATAAAGTGTTCACAGGATAATAATAAAAAATGTTTACATAATTGATGTCAGGTTAAAAGTATTTTATTTCCCAGAATACTATTGGACAAACTCTAGTTAACAATCCAACTGGCGACTTACCGGAAGGGTTTAGACTTTTAGGGTTTAGAGTTTAGAGTTTATAATTTAGGATTTAGGGTTTAGAATTTAAGAAAATAGTAGTATTCCCTAAACCCTAAAATTCTAGGGCCGATTAATCGGCCTAGTCGGCCTAGTCAGACCGATTAATCGGCCTAGTCGACCCTAACTGTAGAGGTCTAGTCGGTCAAAAAATCGGCCTAGTCGGCCAAAAATTCGGCCTAGGCACTAGGTGTCTCTCAACCGTCCGACTAGCGCCTAGCGAGTTTTAGAACAATGTTATTCGGGATAAGGGTCGGATAGGGCCTCGAACTTGAAAAAAAATGTCAAATAAGGCCATATTTAGGATGCTATGTACGGCTGACGCCATTTGGGGCGGTTCCCGGTGGAATTTTTTGATGAAATTTTTTGAGAATCTTATTCATTAAGTCTAGTTTACTCATATCAAATTTGAACTAACAATTCAATCGGGAAGACATTCAAATGAATTCTTGAAGATAACTGCGCTTTTAAGTGCACAGTTATCTTCAAGAATTCATTTGAATGTCTTCCCCATTAAAGTTTTAGTTCAAATTTGATATGAGTAAACAAGACTTAATGAATAAGATTCTAAAAAAATTTCATCAAAAAATTCCACCGGGAACCACCCCAAATGGCGTCGGCCGGACAGAGCATCCTAAATATGACCTTATTTGACATTTTATTTCAAGTTCAAGGCCCTATCTGACCCTTATCCCAATGTTATTCTCTAAACCTTAAAGCCCTAGGCTTCAGGTAAATAGTATTCCATGAATTTTAAAACCCTAGAGTTTAGGAAATACTATTTCCCAGAAGATACGACGAATGACAAGCATGTCACAAGGAGGAGAGGAGGCTGAGGAGCATTAGTGGGACCCATCGAAATAAAAACCTAATTTTAAAAAAAAACTGCTAATAATCTTATGATCTTATAATCTTCTTATAGTCTTTCATGTGCTACTAATACTTCATATATAAAAATAAAAAATAATTAAGCACTTTAAAAAACTTCAATTTTTTAAAGTGTTATAACCTTTTGATTTTTATTCTAATTGTTATAAATAATATATCAAAATTCATAACTTTTTATTACATTTTGAGAATTTTGTTATGAATTTTTATATGTTTTTAAAAACAAACGGATTGAAACTATAAAAAATTATAACACTTTAAAACAGGAAAATTTCCCGAAATAGGAGTAAAAAGTGTGAAAATTCTAAAATAAGACCGTCATGTTTTCATTCTCAAAATAAGAGTAATTACTGCTAAGTTTGGAAAATATTGTCACGTTTAATGTCTGGTACTACAAAAACATGACAACAATTAGTCCTAATTTGAAAAAAAAAACATGATAGTCCTATTTTCGAATATACAAACATTTTTAGTCCTATTTAGGGTAATTTCCATTTAAAAAAGTAGAACTTCTTAAGTGCTACATTATTTTTAAAATTTTTATATACGCAATATAGGTGTCATTTCTTTTTTGTGATGTGCTTCTCTTGTGCAGTGGGATTTCTATCTTCACGTAAGTCGCCAATTCGATTGGCGATTTTGTTAATTATAGTTTGTTCTAACAATATTTTGGTAAATATTTTTAAACTTTTAACTCAACATCATTTTTCGTACATATATTTTATAAAACATTATTTTGGAAAAAAACTTCTTGATCTAGAGTTAGTTTTCTTGATCACTGTAAGTGTACAATTGTGTTTGATTGTATTAATGATGATATATGGGGATGTTGTGTTACTACTCATGGTGGGAATAGTAATTTTCTAACTTTGATTAATGATTTTTCAAGAAAAGTTTGGATATTATTGATTGAAAATAATTAAGTCTTGAAATCTGTGATTATCAACTTGATAATTTATGTACTACTTAAGGTATTTTAATACATGCATGTGTTCCCTCCACTCCCCAACAAGATGGGGCTACTCAGAGGAAGGTTAGAACTCCATTAGAGAGTGTGAGGGCTATGTAGGCCGGCTTGAGGAAGTTTCATCTTCTTCTATTTTCTTTGTTCTTACTTTGTGTGGTTTTAGAGTATTAGTTGGAATCCCCAACTTCTTCAAATCGATTGCTATCGTGGCCTATTAACATACTTTGTCTTGAACAGGGAACCAATATGTAAAGCTCTATCATTTGTGGACTTGGCATGCTCGGTGAACTCGCCCCGATCTTGGTGATCCGAGAATAGTTTGTACATTCTCATCTATTACTTGTATTTTATGTCATATACTTGATTTGAATATGAAAAGTTCCATAGTTCCATTATTGTCTCAGTACACTACCATGTGGATATTGTTAATATATCATTGGCCAAATGGGCCATTTTAAAAACAACATCCAGTAGTTTCCAGATGATTCTTATTCCTACAATCCTATATTTGAATATATGTGTGGTGTGTGAGTGTGCAACTTGTTGCAATATGTTAATTCTATGTAAGCTGGGTGGAGTTTATTATACAAGTGTCAAATTTGTTATCCTTTTATATAGTCTCAAACTCATTTCTTGGTGTGAGGAAGAG